ATGTACCAGCACCGTGAGGTCCTTCTCTGAGCTCCTGAGGTTCCAGCGCCCTGACTTCCAAGCTCCCTGACTTCCAAACTCCAGATTCTAATGACTCCACTCTCCTTCCTTTGTTCCTCCAAGCCCCAGGGGTAGAGCTGCTTCCTGCAGTTACTATCTCTATGTGGCCCCAGTGTCCTGGTGTCCTCTTGTGCTTTTTTGGTCCTTTAACATTTGTTTAACCAGTTCTCTATATTAAATTCTCTAAATCTCTCTGTTAAAATAGCTGGTGTGGTTTCTGTTTTCCTGAGTGAACGCTGCTTGCAATGTATCTGTATCTCAATGGAAAAGAAATTGAATATAAAATCATGGAAATATGATGATCCAAGCTATAACAGGCAAACACTAGTAGATACATTGAAAAAAAAAAAAAAAGCCCCAAACCCATTGCTGTGGAGTCGATTCTGACTCATAGCACCCCTACAGGACAGAGTAGAATTACCCCATAGGGTTTCCAAGGAGTAGCTGGTGGATTCAAACTACCGACCTTTTGATTGGCAGCCGAGCTCTTAACCACTGCGCCACCAGGGCTCCCAGATACATTGAAGGGTATTAAAATTTTTATTGATGAAATCAACATGGCTCCATAGAGAAAGAAAATAAATTAGTGGTTGCCAGGGGCTGGGGTTGGGGAGAATGGGGAGTGATTGCTGACGGTTATGGGTATTGTTTTTAGAGTGATGACAATGTTCTGCAATTAGATGGTGGTGATGGTTGCACAGCTTTATGAATATACTAAAAACCAATGAACTGTATACTTGGCAAGGGTGAATTGTATGGCACATGAATTATATCTCAATTTAAAAAAAAGAAAAAAAAATCAACTTGACTTTTTCCAGTCTGTCCCAGGCCTGCCCCTCAGGCAGTTCTTCAGTATTTCACAGTCTGTTCTTCATTGAATTGTAGAACTGTCTTAGTCCTCAAGAACTAGCTTAGTCTTCCCCAGAAGAAATAGACGGGATACTTTACTTTGCGTGGCCTCAACTGGTGTTGACACTGCAAAGAGGCAATTTTTGCAGTGGCGTTATTTTTCGGCTTGTTGGGCAGAAGAAGGTGGCTGGGCCACTGGGTTGCCAGCTGCTGCAGGAAATTTCTTTGCAGTGAAATGCGGGTTCTAAGTTTCCTCTCCCTGGCATTTATGGCAGTGTGAGAGGTCATGACTACGTGGGATGGTCCAGTTCAGCAAGGATCAAGTGAATTTTTCTGCGATGTTCTTTGATCAGAATTCAGGCACTGGAGTTGGGAACACTGTGTATGGTACAGTATCAGTGAAGATCTCAGCAGGATGAAACAGTTTAGGAATAGCAATGGTGGGAAGTCATCACCATCAGCCCTGCTAGGGCTGAAGTGATAAGGAAAGGAAATAATGCTTTCAGACCCCAGTAAAAGCTGGGGCCTTATGGAAGGGCTCATCCTGTAGGAGCTGAATTTGTAGAGGGACAGAGCCTCTACCAGAGATTCAGCCTCCAAGCAAGGAGAAAGTGGGAAAGAAATTATCCCATACTTTCTCTCCTCCTTCTCCTTTCTTCTGATGGTGCTTCTCATGGGGTCAACCCAACCAGAAGCCAGGCAATAAAGGAGCCCCAGGAGTAAGCATCTCACGGCCCAGAGCAGGACAGAGAAGAGCAGAGAATGGGCTAGCAAGGGGCAGGTGGAGAGGAACCAGCACCAGGAGCGTCTACAAGATGGTCTTGACAGCATGGCAGGGATTATTTATAGTTTTCTTAATTAAAGTCATGCTAATAATTTTCACAGTCAGACCTCTTGGCACATTTTTTTTTACTGCTTCTGCATCCATCTTTTCCTTCCTTCTGGTTCCATGGAGAAAATTCCCACCTCTTCAAAATCTAGGTCCTTGAAATGAGCCCTAAATCCTGTGCCTTCTTGCCTCCTCCACAGCATTTCTCCACCAGTCTTCCTCTGTCTTTTCTATATCATCTTCAACTTTGTCTTCTCCACTCTCATCTTTCCTTGTTAATGCAACAAAAAACCTTCCCATATCACCCTGCATTTCTCATTCACAACCAGACTTCTCCAAATCCTAACACATGCTGCCTTCACTTTGTTATCTCCCTTTAATTCCCATCCCTCTCTCCCAATATCTGGCCCTAGGTCCCACCAATTATTATTTTTTTAACAGCTTTATTGAGATATAATTCACATACCATAGAATTAACCCATTTAAACTGTACCAGTCAGTGGTTTTTAGTATATTCACAGGGTTGTACAACCATCGCCACAATCAATTTTAGAGCATTGTCATCATCCGAAAAGAAAACTGTATCCTTTAGCAGTCACTTCCCACTCATTTCCTCTGAATTCCCACCCCCAGCACCTAGCAACTACTTATAGACTTTCTGCCTCTATAGATTTGCCTATTCTGGACATTTCATAAAAATGGAATCATACAGTATGTGGTCTTTTGTGACTGGCTTTTTTCATTTAGCGTAATATTTTCAAAGTTCATCCATATTTCCCATGTATCAGTCCTTATACCTTTTCATGGGTGAGTAACATCCCATTGTCTGGATATACCACATTTTGTTTGACCATTTTTCAGTTGATGGACATTTGGGTCATTTCCACTTTTTGGCTACTATGAGTAATGCTTCTCTGACATAAGTTTTTGTGTGGACACAAGTTTTAATTTCTCTTGGGTATATACCTAGGAGTGGAATTGCAGGGTCATATGGTAACTCCATGTTTAATGTTTTGAAGAATTGTCAAATTGTATTCCAAAGTGACTTTCACATTTTACATTCCCACCAGAAGTGTATGAGGGTTCCAGTTTTTCTCCAATCTTGCCAACACTTGTTATTATTTGCCTTTTTGATTACGGACATCCTAGTGGGTGTGAAGTGGTATCTTATTGTGGTTTTGATTTGCATTTCTTTAATGCCTAATGGGAAATTCTGGTGGCGTGGTGGTTAAGAGTTTGGCTGCTAACCAAAAGGATCAGCAGTTCGACTCTACCAGGCACTTCTTGGAAACCCTCTGGGGCAGTTCTACTCTGTCCTATAGGGTTGCTATGAGTCGGAATTGACTCGATGGCAACGGGTATGGTTTTTGGGTTTAATGCCTAATGATATTGAGCATCTTTTTATGTGCTTATTAGCCATTTGAATGTCTTCGTTCAGAAATGTCTATTCAGATCCCATGTTCATTTTTTAATTGGGTTATTTGTCTTTTTATTATTGAGTTGTAAGAGTTCTTTGTATGTTCTGGGTACTAGTCCCTTATTGGATATATGATTTGCAAAAATTTCCTCCCATTCTATTTTTTGTCTTTTCACTTTCTTGATGGTAGTCTTTGAAGCACAAAAGTTTTTAATTTTGATGATATCCAATTGATCTATCTTTTCTTTGTTGCTTTTGGTGTCATATGTAACAAAAGTTTGCCTAATCCAAGGTCTTGAAGATTTATGCCTATGTTGTCTTCTAAGAGTTTTATAGTTTTAGCTCTTACATTTAGTTCTATGATTCATTTTGAGTTAATTTTTGCTTATGGCATAAGGAAGGAGTCCAACTTCATTCCTTTGCATGTGGATATTCAGTTGTCCCAGCACCATTTGTTGAATTTCATTTACGTTATTATTATATATTACTGGGAACATGCAGAAGAATTTATGAGGTATTTTCCCATTTGTGCTTGTGAGTATGTTCTTTTTAAAAGATCACTTTGCTATGTTGTTGAGGTTTCAGGAGATATCAGGGGAGTGCTGAGATAAACATATGTGTTCAATCTGCTGTATATAACTAGCAGTGTCTCATTCTTTTCCTTGGAGATTTCTAGCAGAGGATAATGGAGATAAACACATGTCCAGTCTGCCATGTTCATCTGGAAATATCCACTTAGCTGTTTAAAACTCACTTTCTCTGTTAGATGAAAGTGGCCCTCATCCACCATTTTCATTCCAGGGTTTAGCACTGCATTCAACAAATTAAAAATGATGACATGAATGAATGATGGAGCAAGATCAAAAGAGTTGGGTATGAGAAGAAACACTGTTTCCTGTGAGATTGAAAAAAGATGAGAATGGGTTCAGACATAGATGAAGTGGTATATGTGGGGGATGGGAAATTTAGGAGCATATTCTTCAGTCAAGTAGCCAAGAATGGAACACATTATCTCCCAAGGCTCGTCTGGAAAGACGTTTGCATAGATAGGCTCAGGTTCCTTCACTGATGTGCTTTTAAAGGTCCACGTTGGCTACTCCCAGATTCACTTTTCTCTTTCCTAAAATGCATAGATATTGTGCACACATCACAAAACTTAATTTTAAAACCCAGTTTTCTTTTCTGAATTTGACTAGCTCTCAACTTCTTTCTAAAGCCTTTGCTGATTATTGGAAAAGTTCAGAAAGGCAAAGCACAGGCTTTCAGAATCAGACAAAGCTGGTTTCAAACCCTGTTTCTTACCACATACTATGTGATCTTGGACAAATTTCTAACCCTTTCTAAGCCTCAGTTTTCTCATTTGTGCAATGGGAATAATAGTATTACCCATGCCAAAAAGTTGTTGTTTAATTAAATGAGTTAATAATATATGTAAAGCTCTTAAACTGATGCCTGATATACAACACCCTGTTCCATTATACCCCTTATTTAAATCTCAAAGCCACACTTTGGATTGTCCTTTGTTAAAACTGCTTCTCATTTACATCTTTTGATTTCATCTTCTCTTTACTCCTTCAGACTTCTTTCCTTTTGCCTGTATGAATGTGAAGGTAGATCTCTGTGTGTGATTGAGTCAGGTAAAAGTTCTGGATTTTCCTCCTTTTCTTGAGTCTTAGCAACAGTGCCTTTAGCCATTAACAGTTTTGGCTGTGAAACATTATGTTGCCGGCAACTGTCTCCAATTATTTTCAAATGAAGTTAATTATAGTTTTATAAAGGCACATTAATAATTTTCGCTGTGTTTTTAAGTATCTGGAAATTAATAGTTATTTGTTTATTTAATAGACATACACAAAAGAATGGGCTGAGATTTTAAACCACAAAAGTAAGCATGTGGAAGAAGCTGTCAGAGAACTTATATCAATATTTGAGAAAATTTACGAAGTTAAGTACAGTGGAAAAACAGTAAAACAGACAGCAGGTAATTTTTCTAGTTACAATGTTTGAATTGCAAGTGCTACAGACATGTGGTACTTTGTTCATTATCATCACTGCTCTGCTATGTGATCTAGCACAAATTGTTTACTACCTCTCCTGGAGGGAAGGGACCGTGCCTTATGTCTTATTTTGATGCTCACAATTCTTTAGCATTCTGCCTTTCTCATAATAAATAAGTCTGAGTCACATCTGTAATTAAACTGTTAAAGAGAATTTTAACGTCTCATAATACAGTAATCATGGGTACAGACTCTAGAATCAAGCAGACCTGGGTTCAAATCCTGGCTCTAACATTTTCTACTGTGTGTCCTCAGGCAAGTTACTTAACCTCTCTAGCCTCAGTTTTCATCTATAACATGAGGATACAAATCACACAGTTCTCATAGAATTTTTCAGAAGATTAAACGAAATAAGTACAGCACTTAGCCCAGTGTCTGGCATAGAGTAAATGCTCAGTACCGTATTTTTAAGCAAATAATGCACGCCTTCTATGTTTGTTTGCCAACAATGACCTCCCCCCGGGAGGTATTTTTGTAAGCACCTTTGCCAATTTTTCTTCCATGTTGCTGTAAAAAAAAAATTAACATAACATGCTTACGAAAATACTTTGAAGGGAGAGGGCGCCGTTGGCGAACAAACATAGAAGGACGTGTTATTTGCCTAAAAATGTGGTAATTTCTAAGAATTTTATGGTTTTAGCTCTTATGTTTCTGAGTTAGTTATTGTATATCATGTGAGGTATGGGTCCAGGTATATTCTTTTGTTTGTGGAAATCCAGGTATCCCAGCACCGTTTATTAATGAGACTGTTCTTTCCCCATTTGATGGGCTTAGCACCCTTGTCAAAAATCAATTGACCATAGATGTGCAGGTTTATTTCTGGACTGGCAGTTCTATTCCATTGGTCTATGCATCTATTATTATACAAGTACCAGACTGTTTTGATTACTATAGCTTTATAGTATGTTTTGAGAATGCTCAGTAATTTTGCATTTTTTTTAAATATTAAGAGTTATGGTTAAGAGAGATACCTAAGAGCTGGGGTTGGAAACCCAGGCCTGTCTGACCATGAAGCTGCTCTGCTGCCTCCTTCATAAGTTGAAGAGGTGGGAAGTCTGGTCCCCCCCTTTTTTTGAGGTTTACATGACAGCATGTCTGTCTTAGTCATCTAGTGCTGCTGTAACAGATAATACCACAAGTGGATGGCGTTAACAAAGAGAAATTTATCCTCTCACAGTGTAGTAGGCTACAAGTCCAAATTCAGTGCGTCATCTCCAGGGGAAGCCTTTCTCTCTCTGTTGGCTCTGGAGGAAGGTCCTTGTCATCAGTCTTCTCTTGGTCGAGGAGCTTTTTAGGCGCAGGGACCCCGGGTCCAAAGGATGCACTCTGCTCCTGATGCTGCTGTCTTGGTGGTATGAGGTCCTGATATCTCTCTGCTTGCTTCTTTCTTTTATATCTCAATAGAGATTGGCTTAAGACACCATCTAGTGTTGTAGATCTCATCAATATAATTGCCACTAATCCATCTCATTACATCATAGTGATAGGATTTACAACACATAGGGAAATCACATCAGATGACAAAATGGTAGACAGTCATACAATACTGGGAATCATGACCAAGCCAGGCTGACAGATATTTTTGGGGGACACAATTCAATCCATGACAATATCTATGATCAGTACAATTGATGTCATTCCCAAGCCTGGATGTTTGACCTTTGTGTTGGGGGTCCCCAAGATTCACTAAGAAGACTCACAGGACTCAGCCTATAGTTGTACTCACAGATACCAATTATTACAGCAAAAAGATGCAGAGCAAAATTGACAAAGGAAAAGACACAGAGGGTAAAGTCTGGAGGAAACCAGGCATAAGCTTCCAAGAGTCCTCTCCCAGTGGAGTCACACAAAACATGCTGTATTCCTCCAGCAGTGAGTTGTGACAACATGTGTGAAATGTTGTGTACCAGAAAAGCTTACTAGAGAGAGACTCAGTGCTCATGGTTGTTACTGGTGGCTAGTCATGTAGACATCCTCTGTCTAGCATGTACCAAAATTCCAGACTCTCAGAAGGAAAGCGTGTGTTCAGCATAAGCCACATTGTTTGTACAAACAGTTCAGGCACATTCCTTATCAGTTAGGAATAGTGGGACTCCCCTGAAATCCAAGTTCCCAGATGCTAGCCAAGGGCCAACTTTGCAAGCAGGACTTTCTAAGGATAGTAGTCTTAGGCCTGCTGTATTAACTCTTTTGTGCAGTGTTCTCATCATGACTATTTGATTTATCCTTTTTTTTTTTTTTTTTAAGTGAACTAAGCAAAAATAAAATCTAAAATGTTCACAAGTCTGGAAAATTTACTTTGGGTAAGACTGTTTTAAGACTTTTTTAACGTCACTTTTCTGTATAGAATGAGCTATACATTCCTACTTAAAACTGTTTCAGGGATGATATGGCGCTTCCTTAGAAAGCTAGAAATAGACATACTATATGATCCAGCAATCCCACTCCTAGGAATACATCCTAGAGAAATAAGAGCTGCAACACGAATAGACATATGCACACCCATGTTCACAATAGCAAAAAGATGGAAACAACCTAGATGCCCATCAACAGATGAATGGATAAACCAACTATGGTACATACACACAGAGGAGTATTATGCAACAATAAAGAACAATGATGAATCTGTGAAGCATCTCATAACATGGATGAAACTGGAAGGACTTTATGCTGAGTGAAATAAGTCAATCACAAAAGGACAAATATTGTTATGAGACTTCTATTGTAAAAACTCCTGAAAAAGTTTACACACAGAAAGTAACAATCTTTGTTGGTTACAAGGGATGGGAAGGATGGAGGCGGATGCTAAATAGACAATAGATAGGTGGTAATTTTGGTGAAGGGTAAGACAGTATACAATACTGGGGAAGCCAGCACAGCTTGTACAAGGAAAGGTCATGGAAGCTCCATAGACACATCCAACCCCCCTGAGAGACTGAATTGCTGGATGGAGGGCTCTGGGGACCATGGTTTCGGGGAACATCTAGCTCAATTGGCATAATACAGTTTATAAAGACAATGTTCTACACTCTACCTTGGTGAGTAGCATCTGGGGTCTTAAAAGCCCATGAGCAGCAAGGAGAATGAAGAGAACAAGATACAAGGAAAAGATTAGTCCAAAGGACTAATGGACTACAGCTACCAAGGCCTCCGCCAGACTGAGTCCAGTACAGCTGGATGGTGCCTGGCTACCACCACTGACTGCTCTGACCGGGATCACAACAGAGGGTTCTGGACACAGCTGGAGAAGGATGTAGAAAAAAATTCTAACACACAAAAAAAGACCAGATTTACTGGCCTGGCAGAGACTGGAGAAACCCTGAGAGTATGGCCCCCGGACACCCTTTTAGCTCAGTGGTGAAGTTACTCCTGAGGTTCACTGTTCAGCCAAGGATTGGACAGCCCCATAAAACAAAACAGGACTAATGAGGCACAGCAGTTCAGGGACAAGGACTAGAAGGTGGAGGGGACAGGAAAGCTGGTGATAGGGAACCCAAGGTTGAATAAGGACAGTGTTGACAGGTAGTGGGGTTCTTAACCATTGTCATAGGGCAATATGTGTACTAACTGTTTAATGAAAAACTATTTTGTTCTGTAAACCTTCATCTAAAGTGAGAATAGCAGTACCACTGGAAGAATGTAATCGACATCACTGAATTGTACATGTAGAAATTTTTGAAATGGTGTATCTTTGGCTCTGTATATTTTCACCAAAAAAAAAAAAAAAAGGTCCTCCAAGGCCAAGAAGGGAGCTTGTTGACATGTTGTGGGGTTGTTAACCAATGTCATAAAACAGTGTGTGTACTGACTGTTTAATGAGAAAATATTTATTCTGTAAACCTTCACCTAAAGTACAATAAAAAAAAAAAAATGTTTCAGGGGCTCAGGATACACGTCAATGGAGTCTAATTGAAGAGCGGACTTCCAAGGAAGCAAAGGGCATGCCATACCATGTATTTTTTTTGTTCTTTAAAGAATGGCCTAAATAGCTCTGTGTCTTAACAAACTCTGCCTTTGATTCTGCCCAAACCCTCATCACCCTAGGTCAGTTTGCTGGACTGGGAATAAGAGAAACTTCCTTACTTTACGAGGTCTGTTGAGGCAAATCTGTATGACAGGATGCCTGAATTATTTAAAGTGGTTGAAATAATTTTGACCCTATTGAATTTCCTGTTCTCCTAATTTCAGATATCACACCCCCCAAGAAAGCCAAGGGTTTTAATCATTTCACCAAATACTTACTAATAAGCCCAAGAGACAAGGAGCTAAATTTGAATCTGGGGCAGGGGATTTTAAGAGAAGATTCTCTATGCGTACTTAGTCTAGACTTAGGACTACTTAACCTCAGCACTACTGATGTTTTGGGCCAGCTATTTCTTTGTTGTGGGAGGCTGTCCTGTGCATTGCAGGATGTACAACATATCCCTGGCTTCCTGCTGCCTAGACTGTGGTATAAGAACAGGGAACTTCCAATTTTGCTCAGATTTTCCTGTCCTTGGTTAAATTTGAAGAGAAAGACTTAACTGCATTTAAAAGTTTTGTTTTCCAGCTGTAAATAAGGACTTATTAGACAGAAATTTGCAATTGGAGGTTTTACTTGTTAGTATTATACGGGTGTGTGTCTGTCAATCATGATCCCTTTTTGCTCAAATATCTGCTCTTCCCACCATTCCCTGCTCTGCAAAGTAGCATGAGGCTGTGTTTGTGTAGGGCAGGCCACTGACTGGACCAGGGCTGTGTTTATAACACAAGAGTGTGCTACCCTTAGGTTCCAAGGAGACCCAAGAGATGGCTCTGCCTAATACGGGTGATGTTAATTAGCTAATTACTATCCCTTTTGGATTTGAACTAGGAAATAGGTGGGGAGTCGGCTTTTTGGAGTGAGAAAACATTGCAGACAAGCAGAGATGTCATGCAAGTGACAGTGTAAGGTGAGAGAAGAGAGAGAGAGTGAGAGAGCAGAAGAGTGAGAAATATCTGTGCCTAGAACAGTGGTCCTCAGTGGGGTGGGAGATTTTGTGCCCCAGGAACATTTGGCAATATCTGGAGACATTTTTGTTTGTCACACAGCTTGCAGAGTTGCTACTGGGATCTAGTGGGTAGAGACCAGGGATGGTGCTAAACATCCTATAATGCACAGGATAGCCATTTCCCTGTCCCCTAGCAAAGAATTATCCAGCCCCAAATGTCAACAGTGCTGAGGTTGAGAAACCCTGAGCCTGAAATCAGTATGCACAGCACGTCTTCTGTCTCTTAAGAATTTCTCACTTGTAGTTTAATTAGTTTTCTCCAGAAGTGTCAAAAACACAAAAATAACAGTTCATTAAGTTAGAAAACTCCAAAGGTAAACAGATAATTTAGAAAGATCATACGAGAAAATGCTCTTAAAATGTTTCTTAATTCTAGATTCTAAGTTAAGTGCAGAGATATTTTCAGGTGTATTTCTTAGTAGAATGACGATTCTGTTGAGATGGGTGATTTAAATTGAATTTACGGAAGATTCCTACAGGATAAAAGTTTTAAGGTTTTAAAGTAACCTTTTTAAGGACCTTCCTAAGAAGGTCTGGCCATATAGAATTAGCCACATGCTAAAAATTAAATGCTATATTTTTGCTTCATCTTTTATCTGTAGAACAGCGGAAACATGTTGTTTTTGGAAGTGAAACAGAGGAGGGTGGAAGTACTGAGTTTGATGATAATATTGTGACTGAAGATGCTAATGATAAAGAAGATGAATTTAAAAAGGTATGTATTGTGAAACAAACTCATGCAATCTCACAGAATTATGACTCAGAACTATAGATAACCCACATGGTGTTTCCTCCAGGTAGGTCTGCACCTAGTCTGCATGTAAATCCAGAGAATATCGTTTTTAGCTTTATACTGCTTAGGATCTGACAAGATATAACAATCTGCAGTTTTTCCCAATATTGTCACCTTTTGATGTGATTCTGTCAATTATAGTTTATATAGTTATCTTCTGCTGTTGTGATTGACCGTGTTTTCTTATATAATAAATGTCACTTCTGGGATCACCAGGTCTTTCTTCTGAGGTGCCTCTGGGTGGGTTCCAACTGCCAACCTTTCAGTTAGTAGCTCAGCACCAGGGGCAGATTAACTAGTAAGCACGGTATGCACCAGCTTGCGTTGACCAAGGTACTCACGGGCTTGATTGTATTTACTTGCTAATCTGTGATGAGCAATTTCACATGGGTTTGACCACATCAGGTGAGATTGTGCGCTGCAGATTGGTGGAAAGGCACAATTGGGCCTGTGTGTACCTTGCTTATTGGGTAATCCGACCCTGCCCAGCGCTTAACCATTTGGACTATTCAGGAGGAGCCAATCCATTTGACTCAGAGCAGAGGACTTCATTCTCAATGATTGTGTTTAATAAAGTTATCTCTGTTTCAGGTCCAGATTCTGACTCACTTGGGGCCCAGGGATCTGCATTTTTAACCAGCACCACAAATGGCCTGTGAACTCTCCCCCGGGGGAAACCCTGGACTGGGCAGATACTCAGTCCTGGAGGTGTTGAGAATGATGGTTGGGAAGGAGACATGGGGTTCCTTCTCTTTCTCAGGCCTCATCCTTCTGGTCACGCCTCAGCTCTGAACACACATTTGCACTGGTTCCTGCTGTCTCCCGCTCTTATCAGTTTTCTCTTAGTCGCTCATAGCCATCTTCTTTTTATTCTTCCTCTATTTTACAGTCTCTAACACACACTCTAATACAGTTTTGGAAAGAAACAGCACACATTTCTTCCTCTTCCACCTTCCTGCTCAAGGATATTACCAACTGATGGGGAAACACTTCCCTGCCGAGCCTGGATTTTACCCTCAGAATTCTTCTCAGTCGTGTGCACTGGACAGCCATTACCCATCATCTGGAGTTGGTGGGAGAGAGGAAGGCTGTTAACATCTTAGCAGTCCCATCTTTACGTACTTTCTCTTCCACTGCGTTCCCTTTGACACTGGCTGGTGTCCTTAGAGTAAGATTGAATACCATCAGAGCCTCTTGAATTGGGGTTCACTTGGAGCTGCATTAGTGCAGCCACCTCCAAAATAGCCTCCGCCTCTCAAATCCATCTTATACTTCGCTGCCAGAATGGTCTATCTAACATAAAAATCTGGTTATTTCATGCCTGTGCTTCAGCCTGATCATTGTACCACCTTGCTATGCTGAAAAGGTTGATATCCCTCTTTGTTTATGCCTGATAACCCTCTCATCTGACCACCCCAGCCTTACTCACACACCCAGTCTCAGTGTGGCAGGGTCGAGAGTGGAGAGGAGCAATATGACTGGAGCCTGGCTCTGAATGTGTGACTTGCTGTGCAAACAAGAGGTGGGGCCCAGATCCTTGCACGCTCTCTTTCCCCCACAAAGAAAACCAAGTTGCCATTGGCGACTCCGTGTGTGTCAGAGTAGAACTGTGCTCTATAGGGCTTTCATGTCTGTGACCTTTCAGAAGCAGATCACCAGGCCTTTCTTATGAGGCACCTCTGGGTGGGTTCAAACTGCTAACTGTTCAGTTAGTAGCCCAGTGCTTAGCCATTTGTACCACCCAGGGAATCCTAAATCCCTGCCCAGCCAGGCTCAATACATGTCCTACAGTCTGACCGATAAGCGTGGCTACTCCTCCTCCTGCGGGGAGGAAGGATGTGGAGAGAGATCAGATTATGATCACAGGAAGGTAGAAGTTCTCCTCCATCTATTTTATTACCATACATTTTAAAGTATGTTAGCCTCCTAGTCGCTGTGATGCTGAACAGGTTTCAGCAGAGCTTCCAGACTGAGATAGACTAGGAAGAAAGGCCTGACAATCTACTTCCCAAAATCAGCCAATGAAACCCTATGGATCATAACAGTCAAATCCCATTGTGCATGAGGTTGCCGTGTGTCAGGGTCAACTCCACAGCAGCCAACAGCAACAACCCAGCAAACTGAGCGTTTTGAGGATGGTGTCCTAGTTATCTAATGCTTCTATAACAGAAATACCAGAAAGTGGATGGCTTTAATAAACAGAAGTTTATTCTCTCACAGTCCAGTAGGTTAGAAGTCCAAATTCAGGGTGCCAGCTCCAGGGGAAGGCTTTCTTTCTCTGTCAGCTCTGGAGGAAGGTCCTTGTCATCAATCTTCCCCTAGTCTAGGAGCTTCTCAGTGCAGGAACTCCTGGCACTACTTTCTTGGTGGTATGAGGTCCGCTGTCTCTCTGCTCACTTCTCACTTTTATATCTCAAAAGAGATTGACTCAAGGTACAACCTAATCTTGTAGATTGAGTCTTGCCTCGTTAACATAACTGCCTGTAATCCTGCCTTATTAACATCATAGAGATAGGATTTACAACACACAGAAAAATCACATCAGATGAGAAAATGGTGGACAATCACACAATACTGGAAATCATGGCCTAGCCAAATTGACACACATTTTTAGGGGACATAATTCAATCCATAACAGATGGAGACTAAATATCTTCTTCTTGTGCCCCCCAAAATACCCTCCAAGTGCTGAGAAACAAACCACACTTGGTGAGTTGATCAGTTTTGTCAAGTGAATTATTACATATTGAGTGAACCAGGATTATTTTGAATAAGCTGTTTTTGATTTTTGGCTTTTGAGTACTTCCTTACGTTTTGCTAGCATGTTTACGCAAATACATTTTCATATACTGTTATTTGTTTAAAAAATAATTTAGGATTCAATTTATTTCTACAATTTAATTGAAATTGTATAATTATATTTTTCACCTTTCGTTTGTCACTTTTAGTAGTGTTATTTTAAGGATGCTAGCTTTTTATACCAAATTTAATATGATTTTGTATTACAGGAATGTAAAGAAGTCTATGCTGTTTTTACTCATCAGCTACTAGATAGTCTTCAAAAAGCTACACGGTTATCTTTGGACACAATGAAAAGAAGAATATTTGTTGCAAGGCAAGTTGAAAACACTAAATATACCTGATATACGTATCATAGTATGATGCTAATAACATCTCTTATTTTTATTAATATATTAATTTAAAAATTATAGAATATAGCATTCTTTAAAGGATTGTATGAAAACGTGTAATACGGCAAGAATAGTGATCAGATGAGCAACCATGTTCCTAGCACCCAGGCCAAGATAAAGAACTCGACCAGTCCCCTTAACGGTTCTCTCCCTACCCACCCAAAGGTAACTTCTATCCTGAGCTTTGTGTTTATGGTTGTCTTGTTTTTCCTTACAGATTACCATGTGTTTATAGCCCTAATCAATGTATCATTTAGTTTTGCCTATATATGAACTTTGCCCAGTACAGGTATGCATCTCTTAATGTCCACAATACATAAGGATTCTGTGAAATAGGACGTTATGTGATTTGGATGTTGTGCGAACACTGTATTATATAGAGGAGAGAGGTGTGCAGAACTGTCATCGGTGAGGCCCGGATCTGCTCCACCGCCACGGGAGGGATTGCGCAAAAACTCGGTCGCAGGTCCTGTGAGAGATGCGCAGGTGTGCCATGGTGCGGGCTTGTCGTCAAGCCAGCGCTGGCTCCCTTCACTTCCTTCCTCCCTGCCTGCCTTCCCTGACCCCCTAGTGGGCTTTAAACTCTTCCAGACCCGCCCGCCCCTCCTCTGCTCCCGTGGCCGCCCTTACTGCTCCTCCTCCTGCCACCGCTGCAGTCGGGACCTAGAGGTGGCCGCCAACGCGGGAGGATCCTAGGCCGCAGGCCAGTTGTGACTCGCAGGGCGTGCAGGCCGAGTGGGGCAGCAGCTTCCATGGGGCAAATCCCTCAGAGGCTCCAGTGGTGTCTGCGCGGTCCTTGCCAGAGGCGAGCAGGGTAGGATAGATAGGTGCGGATGGGCGCCTGGACCCCCTTCCGCTGCCGCCCCAGGGCCAGGATGGACTAGACCAGAGAGCTAGTGAGAGACGAATCGGTTCTCTAGCAAAGTAGGTTCTGTTCTCCAGCAGGAATTGCTGAACTCTTATAACATTATAGGACCAAAAATGTGTATGTGGTTGGACGTTGCCTGAACGCATGTTAAGCGACACATACCTGTATTCTGTTTTTGAGATTCATCTATGTTGATGTAGTGTGTTTTCATTTCTGTATAGTTGAAACAGGAGCCTGGTGGTGCAATGGTTAAAGTGCCTGACTGTTAACCAAAAGGTTGGTGGTTCGAACCCACCAGCTTCTCAATGGCAGAAAGATGTGGCAATCTGCTTCTATGAAGATTACCGCCTTGGAAACCATATGGGGCAGTTCTATTCTGTCCTATAGGGTTGTATGAGTTGGAATCGACTCAATGGCAGTGGGTTTGGTTTTTTGTTTTATAGCTGCAGTAAGGAGCCCTAGTGGCTGAACAGTTAAGTGCTCATCTGCTAACCTTGAACTGTTGGCAGTTTGAACCCACCCAGGGGCTCCGTGGGAGAAGGATCTGGCGATTTGCTCCCATAAAGATTAAACAAAACAAAACAAAAAAACCAAACCTGTTGCCAGTTGAGTCAATTTTGACTCATAGCAACCCTATAGTGACCCTACAGGACAGAGAGAACTGCCTCATAGGTTTTCCAAGGAGTGGCTGGTGGATTTGAATGGCTGACCTTTTGGTTAGCAGCTGAGCTCTTAACCACGGAGCCACCAGGTCTCCGCCATAAAGATTAGAGCCTAGAAAATCCTATGGGGCAGATCAACTTTGTCATATGGGGTCACTATGAGTAAAACTTGACTCAATGGCACCTAAAATCAACAATATAGTTGGAGTATCTTGTTTGTCCATTCTGTTAATGATTTAGGTTTGGGCTATTATGAATAAAGTCTCTGTGAACATTCTTGTACCTGTCTCCTGCTACACCTACCAAGAGTGGAATAGTTGGGTCCTAGGGTACCTGTATGTCTCACTTTACCAGGCAAGCCTAGCATGAGAGTGCCCATGGCTCCTCATCATTGAAAACATTTGGTATTATCCAACTAAATAATTCTTGCCAGTTTAGGGGTGTGAAGTGGCATCTCATTGAGATTTAAATTCTAATTTTCCTGGTTGCTGATGAGATGGAGCATATTTTCATGTTTATGGGCCATTTATGCTTTCTTAAAATTTCTGCTCTTTCCTCTCTGTCTCTTTTTTTGGCCTGTTTTTCTGTTGGATTGGATTGATTCCTATGTTCTCAATATACTTACTTTGTTGATGATACTATAGAAAAAATCTTCTCTTTGTTGTACTTTATCATTTCATTCTCTTTATGGTATTCTTTGCTGAATTTTACCAATATTCAAATTTATCAATATTGTTGCTAGGTGGAAACCCCAGGCTCTGCTCGGCATGACTTGTTACAGCCAATGAACAAGACGCTTAGGTGGAAGAGTAGAAAGGTACCTTTATTTTGTTGTGCAAGGAAAGGAGCAATCGGGGCTGTTGCCTCCAAGACTGCTTGTGGGCAGCTTTGGGAGGTGGGCTTTTACAGAGAGCAGACAAGGAAATGCTAATTAATCATGAATATTCAGGATTGAACTTCATGCAGGCACTCAGGGCTTGGGGATAACTATGCATTTTCTCTAGACAAGGGTTTGATTCTCCAGGATGGAGGAAGAGGTCAATTTTCCTTCTTTAGCATGTTAAGTCTCCACCCAGAGGCAGGGTGCTTATATGTATTCTTCACTTAATGAGCTGATAGGTCACTTAAAGTGCCAAGATGGCATTGAAAACCTGCTAAAGCTGGTTGAGGCCAGCTATGCTATGGCCTGTTCTGTGATTATCTTGTCAAGGACAATTGAAGAACAATGTGCGACCTGTTCTGCTCGGTGTAGGAGGATAAGCTAGGGCAGATTATTCAAAGAAGAGTTAGGCTCTGAGGCTGCCTGCCTCAATATTTTCTTTAAATATTCAACTTTATCAATCTTTTCTTTAGAGATTTGTGATTTTTATGTCGTTTTGAAGACTCCCTTCTATACTTCATATCTTCTAAGTGTTTTATGGTTTTGTCTTTTACATTTAGGGATTTAACTCACATGGTATTGATTTTTGTGTTTAGTGTGAGGTAGGAGATATATATATATATATATATATATATTTTTTTTTCATATGGTTAATTAGTGGACCAAGCAAAAGTTGTTGAAAAATCAACTTTTTTTTGTGGGGGTAGGGGGGAGGCAGGGCGAGAAGGGTATTTAAATTGCAATGAATCTATAGATCTATTTGGAGAGAATTAGCATCCTTATAGTATTAGTTTTCCATCCAGAATCATAACCTCTCCATTTATTTAGATTTTCTTTAATATTTCTCAGTGTGGTTTTATAATTCTCTATGTAAAGATCTTGCACATTTTTGTTAGATTTAGTCCTTGGACACCCATTGCTGACTTTTAATTTAATTATACTGTTAAAATTTCTCAACATGATTGTGGATTTGTCAAATTTTCCGTTTGTTTTGGTCAGTTCCTGTTTTATATATTTTAAGGCTGTTGTTAGGGCCATGCAAAGTCATTGCAGTTAAATCTGTCTCGAATACTGTTCCTTTGATTTTTACTTGGTAGACCTCTTTACCCATATTAATCCTTGATTCCTCAAATTCTTTTTAGTCTGTCATTAATTTTGCTTTCCTAGCTTTTTTGTATATTTTTTCCTATCCCTTCATTTCAGCTTCTCTATGTAATTTTTAGTTTTACCTCTTAAAGTCTTTGCATATCTGAATTATTTTTACTCAGTATGATTATCTTTTTTAATATGAGTTTAATCTGTTTGGCTTTATTGTGATTTCTGATATAGTTGGACTTAATTTATCACAATTTATTTTGTGTTTTCTTTTACTCTCTTTTTCTTTGATTCATTTCATTATTTAAAATACACATATTTCTGATTTCTTTGGGGTGGATACTTTTTCTATTTTATTCTCTCTTTTGTACTTCAGTCTTTAAGTGTTTACCCTTAAAGTTAGAATACACATATTTTGCTACAGTTTTAAAAAGTACAGTCTATAGTGTTGCTGTTTTCTAGGCTTATTTCTGACCACAATGGCCTTGGCATGTTTCAGTCACTGAACTATATATACCTTATTATTGTTGTTTGATGTTTTAGTTTTACCCTTTTATTGAACACTCAAAAATAAATTAAAAAAACAATTTTTTTTTGAGGTGGAAACAACCCAAAACCCATCAAGAGATGAATAGATAAACCAAATGTGGTATATACACACGATGAAACATTACTCTTCCATAAACAGAAACGAAATCCTGAAAGATGGCCACAACATGAATCAATCTTGAAGACATTATGCTGACTGAAATAAGTGAATCGCAAAAAGAAAAATATTGTATGATCTCACTAATATGAAACACTTAGAATAGGCCAGTGTATATAGATCAAAGTTTAACAGTGGTTACCAGGGGCGGGAGGCAAAGGAATAGAGGGAAATTTGTTAACATTGAGTTTCTGTTTATAGGGATGGAAAAAATGGCAATGGATGTTGGTGATAGTTGCACAACATGATTAATGTAATTGGTTTCATTGAATTGAAAATGTGAAAAATGTTGAATTGACAAATGTGGTGTTACCTATATTTTTACAACAGTAGGAAAATTATAATGTAAAAAAATACAACAGCCATTCATAATAAAAATTCTCAGCAAAAAACTAATTTATTATTTTTGAATAACATTAAGTTTACTTGCATATTTAATTAATTTCCAGGTTCTCTTGTATTTATGGTTTCCCACTTGTTCCTTAGTGAGGGTGTGTGAGTGTTATATTCTCCTTTCTTCTTTGTAAGGCTGAAAATGCCTTTTCCCTTCCCTCATTCTTGCATGATAGTCAGGCTGGGTATAAAAATTTAGTTTGTCTCCCAGGACTTTGAATTTATTTCTTCATTTTATTCCAAACTATTTTATTGCTGATGGGAAGTCTACAGTGAGTCTAACTGAAGATAGTTTTTTGTTTTTTTTATTGTTGATGTTC